AACCATGTGGACCTTTTTTTGTTTTTGTTTGCCGCCAAAGCCTCTATGCAAGCATAAACCGAAAGAAGAGTTGGCTTCTCGTTTTTCAAGGACTAGTTTTTCTTTCCCCGTCCTTCACTCCTTTAAGTCGGTAACCTTGGATTGACTTTTAGCTACTCTGATCCCTTCGGTAACTTCCATTTTGCTCTGCTTCTCTCTAAATACTGACTCACTGCCTCTTACAGACGCATACAAAACAAGTGAAGTCTCCAGAAATGGCATGTGTTTGAAATGGAAATGAGACTCTGTATTAAACTTACCCTGATCTGAGACCAGCTGAGACCAAAGCACTGATGATGATTCACCACAGTGATGATTTTTGTGTCAGTGTAAACACAAGTACACACTTTTCTAGAAAAGTATTTTTTCATCAATCAAGCAACTGCAACCGCTTTGCCTGGGTTACAAGCTGCAATTTCCTCAGCTTTGGTGCTTGTGTATCAGCAGGTTTTTATCTGTATAGATCCCAACAAGACATACAGGAACCAATGGTTTTACAGGTTTCCTTATCACTGACCAAAGTGCATCAATTCACACTACTGCCACCTACATACCATGCATTTTAAAGACTGACCCATGGAGCCTGGCAGGTTTAACCTCCCTCCATTGGTTTGAGGCTTTGTTTTTGCTCTTAAGTGCTCATAGGCAAATATATTACACTACCAAATACAATTTGAGTTTAATTTCCAAACTGCTTTGCTTGTAAATGCTATGATGTTGACAGCAAACCTTTACAACACACGTACAGAAAAAGATGGCTTACCGATCCCCTCTTGCAAATGCATTACAATGTTATTATAACATATCTTTGACAAAATGTTACTGTAGGTGGAGATCACTTTGTAAATCGAAACTACTATATGTTTGGAAGGAAAGAAAATACTCTAATGACTTCAACTTTGACTTATTATTTCAACTTAAAGAGGCCCTATTGTGCTTTTTGGGGCTTTTTTCCCTTTCCTGTAGTGTGTTATAAAGGTTTTTGTGAATGTTAAAAGTCTGCAAAAGCTAAATGTGCTGCAGCACAGGCAACATGAGAAAAATAAATACCTTTTTTAAACATTACATACAATTTAGAACCTGATGTGAGTATAATAGGACCCCTTTAACACATTTCATATAGTGATTGCGCTTAGGTTTACAGAATATTTAGACATATTTGACAAAAACATTTCTTGCCCACATTAGCTTTAACATTAATAGTTTGGGTTTTTGACTGACAACATAAATAAGACATTTAAAGACCTCGCCTTAGACTTTGATAAACTGAGATGGACATTTTTTAGAACAGACGAGTAATCACCACATATAGAAATTAATCAGCAGATTCATCAATTACAAAAAATGATTGTTGGTTGCAGGTTTAATTATGACTATCTGACATATATTTGTTACCCGGTTACAATAATGTGTCTCTTTGGCCCTCTGTGTGTCCCCAGGTTGTTTTGGAGACTGAAATCACCAACAAATCAGCCCTGAAGCTATACGAGAACTTGGGTTTTGTCAGAGACAAGCGGCTGTTCAGATACTACCTAAACGGAGTGGACGCGCTGCGGCTCAAACTGTGGCTCCGCTAGAGGAAAGAGAACGGGACAGGGGAGGACGGGACACCTCGTATGCTATCGGCTCAACAGCCTCAGCTCTGCCCTGGTCATTTCACTCTTATACACACTTCACACACTTCACACACACACACACACACACACACACACACACACACACACACACACCTGTGTACAACATTTTGCACATAGGTATGCATAGACACGCAGAAACACCCTCTTTTTGTCCTTGACCTCCGAACAACCGTTGTCGAGGGCGAACCCGATTGACATCCCACCTAATGGGCCAGAGGATGGGCGGTGAGCGAGGGTGACCTTTTGACCTTCAAGCTTGGATGCTATGAACCGGGTTGCGAGGCAGCTGAAGTGAGGACATTCGTCCGAACCCTCAATAGGACACGGCACCACAGCAGATCCTCCTACTGAACACGGGACAAACACAGACTTCAAAGTAAACAACAAGTGACACCAGGAAGCGGGGTGGTGAAAAACAGACTGGGAAAAGAAAATATTTGTTTGAGTTTCTTTTTGTGTTTCTTTTTTAACCTTGTGAGTTGGACGGGGTAAAAGCTATAGTATGACTGTGTGTTTGTACTGCCTCGTGTTTTTTTCTTTTGGAGTGTTTGGCTTGTTTTCATGTGTGTTTGGTTTCACAGTGAGCAAGTGACCGTGTTGTGTGACTGTGAGCGCATGCTTCGGTTAGAACTGTGCGTTCTTGTTTTTTGTTCCCATCACCTGCCTCAGCCCCCTAGACTGAAGCCTGTAAAGATATGCATGCATTTATTTTAAAGTGCGTGCGGCGGAAAAAGTGTGAAGAGTGTGTGTTGATTTACCCAGTTTGAGCTAAACCCACCGAACCCCCTTCCTGTGTTTGGTGTAAGTATGTTGCTGCAGAGCAGTTGATTGAAACAAATCACTCCATTAGCACCTCAAACTTTTCCCAACTGGTGAATTTGCTACCGTTTTTGCTTCTATACCTTTCACTTAATCTCTCATCAAACCTGACTGTATGGGTGAGGAATTTAGATTTTTTCTTCCTATTACAACAGAACTTGTTTCCCCTAAATGCACTGCCAGCTGCTGCAAAATCCCCCAAAAGGCGTCTTTGAAATAGACCCGTCTCAGTTGACTCCTTTTTAAAGATTATATCCGTCTGTTCCTCCTTATTGCAAGTGCCACTCAATCCATCAGCACTCTCAGCCTCAGCTCAGCCTGCTAACAGGCATCACACACTCAGCCTCGACACTTCTGCGTCTGCACTCGGCACCAGACCGGAGGCGAAGTGTTACATATGCTGGAATGCATGAGTATGCTGTGTGTGTTTATCTCTCGATACAAAGAAAACGAAAATAGACAAGTATTCTTAGCAGATTATATTTGATTCTATGTTTGCTTTAAATTAGTTTAGATTGTCTAGCGTACACCTGTTTAACCTCACGCTGCTCATCAGCGGCTGAGTCCTCAATGCACCAGGTGCTCTAACTCGATGCACAACCAACCTCGCTAACATTTAAGATCCCCGACCTGAGACTTAGTGTCACCAGTACGCTCCAATCCAGACTAATTAAGACAGTTGGCTTCATCTGCTTTTGTGTTTTTTCTTTTCTTAAAAGTAAATATGAACAAAGGTCAGATGCACTTCTTTGGAAATTGCTGCAGTGTGTATGTGTACGTAGTACGAATGTGTCTTGTGTGTGTCCTGTTATTTTGATAATGGCGTGGTTCTGTTAGACTTTTATTTCTCTACTTTCTAAATCAGAGCCTTTGCTGCTGTGTTTTGTTTCAAGGACAACAGGAAAGTAAAAAAAAAAGGCAGACTTTTTTTACTTTCAAGGATACGAGTAAGTGCTCAATGTGGTGGAAAGACTGGAGACTGTTTGGTTGAAGGGAGGATAAACCCTAAATTAGCTTAGATATTTTGGAAAACAACCCGCGTTACAGGTTTTTAAAGTAAGAAAACTTCAAATTATGCAATCGGACATCTGCATGCTTTTATGCTGCCTACAATATTCAATGCAGGACGCTGCCTTGGGGCGCAATCAGTCAAATCTGCTCTCAAAGTCTCCAGCAAACATTTGTGGTAGTCGAATGTATAAATTATTTGATAGCTAGTCTCCATGAATGACACTACAGGACCGTGTTCATATTTCGGGATTATTTTCCATCAGACTGAAGTATATGTTTACAGAGTCGCCACCCCCATAACAGCCTGTGTATGTACGTTTGTGTCTGTGCATTTGGAACAACAGACCAGATGACCTATTTTTGTTTGTTTTTCAGATTTGTATACGAGTGTTGTTTTATTCCTCGGATATATTGAGAGCATGTTTTGTTTTTTGGGTGAATCATCTGTTGGGATGGGGGCGGTTTGGGTTGATTTATCAGATTGTGATTTTTATTTTTAATTTCTGTGCCCATCCAGAGGCTTAACGAGGACTATGAGCAATTGACAGTGGGCATACAAAAAAACACTCTACACCGTGAACACAAACTATTATCTTTACTGCTCATCTGACACTCTTTAAATTTAAATGATCACCCTGTGTAAACTCCTGGTTTATTTTGGAGGTATAACGTGTCCCTGTGTTGGACATTTGTCTCCCCTCGTGTTCTCTCACTTCCCTGGCCCTTTCTCTTCTTTTATACAGTGACTACTGATAGATGAAGGGACATGATAGGTACAAAAGGAACCTGTCTGTTCTTAAAACCAGCTGTCAGTACGAGGAGATGTTTTAGATGTCGAAGGAAAAGTGTTATCTTTTTTTTTAATTTACTTTACTCCTGTGAAACTCTGGCAGTTCCATATGGGCATTACAGCCTGTCACAAAGGGCCAAAGCGCTCAGTTTAGCTCATCACAGACTGAAGGGCTTCGTCATCAATATCAGGCCTGCTGTGTTTTAATGAAAATGCATTTGGAAAAAAAGTTTTTGATTTTACAATGCCGGTTCAGTGTTCACAGATGTCAGAGGCAGTTTTCTTTACTCCTCCTGGACGTCCGCTGTGCTTTTCAGGTAGCTTACTCTAACAATCACACGCCCAATTATCTGTGCTTACCTGGGGCGACATCTGCCTATCCTACATTTCTAGTGTTACAATTATACATTTCCCAGTAACCAGTTTGCGGGTCTGATAAAGAAAATGTGTCTTGGCTGTCATGCTGCACCACAAAAAGCTGTGTTCCTGCAACCAACCAAGCAACCACAGGGGCTTCCTGCAGTCTTTTCGGGGCGGCCAGCTACGCCTCCAACGCCATCTACGGAGTGCAAAGGGGAGAACAAAAGGTTTTTTTGCATGTCAGATTTCTGTTCCCCCAGTTCCTCTTCCCTGTCCCCTCTCTTGATTTTGATCTGGAAATGTCCGATAGCTTTTATTTAATGTGGAAAAAGAACACAGAAATAAATTATTTGATTTTTTTAATGCTGTAAACTGGGTCATGTCTGCTGTCTGAAGTGGTTTCCATTTAAAGCATAGTTTACACTTAAGTTACATCATAAGAGAGTTGAAATAAGACATCTTAAAGAATTGTTTATTTGATGTTGAATTATTTACACAGAGAAAGAAGTGTCTACTATTTTACATCACACTTACCTACCCTAAAACAGTATTATTGCATATTAACAGGCAGTTGTACATTAAGCATATCAGAGGACTGAAATGACTGAAAATATTTTCCCTTTGAACAAAAGACAGCACTATGTATTAATGTCGTGAAAAACATGGCTCGGATGAGTGTTTTGAATTTTTTTTATTAACAATTTCCTATTTTATTCCAAACTCAAGAACTGTATTTGCTTATATAGTTGATTATAGAAATCTAAAATTCATGGGGCAGACATGTTTGCCAAAATGTCTTGGTCTGCCCTTCTCTGAAGCACACAAAAGTACTGAAAAATTCTCTCTTAATTAACTTCAATGTTTGTGCTTTTCCAGCCAACATAAACCCTTCATTCATTAGAATTAAAGTCACTGCAACAGGGCTGTGTATGAACAGACTTAATAATCATGCACTTAAAAACACTTTTTGTAAATTGCAAAACGATGAATTCATATTGATGGGGGGAGGTACATTATTTTTTGTATGCCTCACATTTTTGAGGGACAATGGTATCTTGTACTACAGATTATTAGATGTTCAAATTAGCTGTAACAAAGTGTTTGTGTGTGTGTGTGAACAAATGCTTTTGATCAATAGATTTAAAACAAATCCAGAAAATGTACATTTAAATGAAGCAATTAATTATATGTAAAGGTATCTGAAAAGTGTGGAAAATTTGGTTTAAGGCAATACTTAAACATTTTGGGAAACATGCTTATTCATTTTTTTTGTATATAGTTTGATGATAATTTAGTTACCAATGTGTTAAATATGAAGCTATGTTTCAGCCAGGAATTGGTGAATTTAGCATGAAAGCTGGAAACAGCAAGCCTGGTTCTATTGAAATGTTATAAAATCTGGATACCGGTTAGCAGCAGCTAGCAGTTGTAAGGTAACTACTCCAGGCAGTCACTGCTCTAAGCCGAATAAATGTTTGACACGTTTCCACTATCAAACAGCAACTTATCAATTCAACACTTATTTTCTAATAAGTGTTAAACAAACCAAAATGAGTTTTAAAAGGTTTAGTTTGTTGAACAGGGGCAAAGCTAGCTGTTTCCCTCCATTCTTCATGCTAGGCTAACCGGCTGCTAGCTCCAGCTAACTGTCAGATTTGAGAGTGCTATCATTCTTGTCATCTAACTATTGGCAAAAAAAACAAATAAGCATATTAAACAAACTGTTGAATAATATAAATATCCACATTTAGGAAGAAATTAAAATGTATTTACACTCAAACAACTGACCCCAAGTCAGTTACATATACAGTAAATATATGTAGGCCTACATTGTTGATGTGATGTATCTCTTCTGCAGCCCTTTTTTACTGCTTGACAGACATCCTGCTGGTCCACACTTTGCCTCTCAACTCCAACAATTTATCAGCAACACTTTAATCCTGCCATTACCCTGCTGATGCATTTTTTTAGAAGCATCAATATAATCTTTTATGTTGAAGTACATCACGCCAGCCTTGTCAAGCCATTAGAATCAACATCACCTGACAACATTCAGAAAAGTGCTCACATTGGTTCTTTTAGAAGTGGTGGGATACAAAGCGGAACTCTGTGCAGCCTGTGCAAATTGTGTCCTCTACTCAGTCACATTCTGTGGATCAGATGAGACATAGCCAAACAGCCCAGGGTGATGGGAGATGCTGTAGTCATAGTGATGGGGTTGTTTGCTGAGCCTCCATTACAGGAACATCAGCTATTGGTCACCGACAAAAAAGAGCCCAGCAGGGTCTCATCAGAACTCATCTTCAGAGCTGTCAGCCAGCAGCATGGCCTGGTCCTGACGGCTGGTCCCCGGCTCTCGAGGTTGCTGGGGAGTTGAAATGAAAATTAAAAGTTGCATAGACAACATTTCTTCCCTATAGAGTTTGCAAGTGGTCGGTGTTGAAGTGAGCTTTTACTCAAGTAAACCACAAGGACACGTCTCACACGCTGCCTGTATGCTCTGAGCCCAATCACCATCACTTTGTCACACCAAACACTTGCTTGGAACACATTACGCTACTCTTTTACCAACACTGTAAATCTATCTATAAAAGACCCCCCCAAAAAACAGCTGTAACAGAAATATAGATGAATAAGAAGTCATTTAGGGGAGTACATGTAATATTTGTTCCACTTCAATAAGCACAAGTATTATTGTTTTGTTGCTGTAGCAACGTTTCTGTTTTCCAGGAAACACAGGTGACAGGGCACATTGCATTTTGTTTTCCAAGGTTAAGCTACTTTGGTTGTTTCACTGTCAGTCATTTCCACTAATGGCTTTAGTAAGTTCAATGAACTTAGGTTGTTGGTGGAACTGACCTCTTGCTGCCTGACCTTCCTCCTCTGGTGTTTGAAGCTGTGAATCATCCTGATGCTGTAGAGGGCGCAGACGATTAACAGGGCCCCAGTGATGCCTATGCCCACAGGGGCCAACATCCCGGACACATAACCCGCCTGCAGAGCATAAAGACAACATTGCTAAACGGAATTGTAAACAAATCCTGGCAATCCTTCTCTATAAACTCAAATCAAAAAGATCCCTAACATATAAAACTGTAAAGGTAGAGAATATTACCAGATTTATCCATAACAGCACATATAATGGAGCGAATAAAACAGAAATGTTTTGATGGACGACCAAGACTTTTTAGCGGCAGCAGGGGGCAGTCTTACCTTTTCTCTGATCAACTCTAACCAGCTCCGCACTATGAGAAAAGAGACAGATATAGCACTTTTCATAAGTGTATTTCAAATGATTGTGATGCATGTATGATGACTGCAAGTGAAGGTATAACCATTGAATATGTTGTGTTATTTCCATAGCTTATGTAAAGATTATTTAGAAACCATGTTCTCTTACTCAGCCCCTGGTTGCGTTGGACCCAGAGAGGAGGTGGAGGAATGAGGCTGTACGGAAGCCTCGTTGAGAAGGTTTTAGGTGTCTCTGTTAGGTCCTCCTTGCTGTCATCCTCGATCGATTCCTCAGAGTTCTCATCCTCATCCTCTTCATCTGTCTCCTCTGTGTGAGATAACAAAAAAGAGTTACTCAGTGGCCACGAAAAAGGATGACATTGAAAAACCTATTTATTTTTAAAGGGCCCGTGTCATGCTTTTCCGGTTATTACCCGTCCCCTTGTGTGTTATGAAGGTTTTTATGCATGTAAACGGTCGGCAGAGTCAAAAATCCTCAAAGTATACCCTGTAGCGAGTAAAACTCTAACACAGTCTATGCTGCCCCAAAACGCCTCGCTGGAGATTTCTCATTTTCCATTGTTTACTTCCTGGGTACTGTGACATGTGAATACCCAGAGGTCACACCCTCTGCCAGCATTTCACGAAACAAAGCTTCACAAAGCTTCACAAACCTTTCAGCGATTCATGCCAGATATGTACAGCGTAGGGCACTGAAGAACGATGCTATTCCTACTTTTTTTGGACCAGCGGGAGATTCGGGTACACAACCTGTAAGTATTCATTGTTGTTTGTGTATTTATGATGTTTAACAAAACAAGGTATCTACCACGACTGTTTAAATGGGTAAACGTTTTTCGGGCTGCTAAGTTGGGATCGCGGATAAATGCTCTCCGCAGACCCATGCTCACAGCGTTATAAACCTTTTTCTTACTCAATATCAAGCCACACTTATTGTTTTTACTTCGGCTGTGAGTGTTTGTGTGTGCTCAGGATGAGTTTCGCTTGTTCTCGCTGTATCGCCGACCCGGAAGCCTGTCCGTTCCTCGCAGCAACGAGCCTCTCAACGTCCCGACCAATCAGAGCACACTGGGCTCACAGGGAGGGGGGGGGCAGGAGAACATACTTTACAGAGATGCTGTATGAGAAACCAATGTGAGTTTGGAAAATTGCACGGTATAAATATATTTTAGTATACCTCAACAATGGAATTATGATCAGTAGAAAAGGCCATGACATGAGCCCTTTAATTAAATTGTTTTTTTGCAGTTGGCAATAAAACTTGTTTTACCCTCAGACTCCATCTCCTCTAACCCTGATCTGGATTTGTGCTCCGGATGATTGGTTGCCATGGATACCGTTGTCATAGCATGCTGGAGGGATGAGAAGGAGGGGTCGGTGGTGGGCAAGTTCTCCTCAAGGTTTTCCGTCCTCACATCACCTACACGCCGGGAAGCACGTGGCCCAAACACACACACACACACACACACACACACACACACACACACACACACACACACACACACACACACACAAGCACAGGCATACACTTTGTTACAGCTATTTTAATATCTAATAATCTGTAGTACCAGATGCCTTATATTGCATGTGCAGTATTTCTTCTGTTTCAGTGATTTAACGAAATTAACTGTCAGAGAAATACATTCTCAAGCAAAATCAAGTCTCTTCAAGATCACATGAATTCAGGCCAGAGGTTGCCTAGAGGGGGAAAACATATTTGAATAACTTCAACACCAAAATATATTTACTATTACTTTTCTTTTTCAAAATAATGTTGATGCACAAGCAAAGTGTACTGTTGCCCCATAATTCTATGTTAAAATGCAACAACCCCTGCAGGATAAAAGGCACATAAGAATGAGTTATAATGATTAGTATTAGTAAATAAAGGTTGAATAAAAAATGAAATAAAAAAACTAAAATTCAGCAAGATATTTGAAAAAACAGTTCCTGGAATTAGTTGCTCCATCACATTTACACAATGACCCATACTGTTCTTTGAAAAATGGTTGACACTAATGTGAAGTACATGTGACTTTTAGGAAAAAAAGCTCCTCGTGTTGACATTCATTCATCCATGCTGCCACATCACCTCTCTCAGTTTGATCCTCGGCTCCGTCCCTCCGCTCTGAGACAGACGGTCCCAATGATCCGATTGGCTCCAGCAGCTCCCCGCCGGACGCCTGCCACGATGACGTCCAGTCTGGCATCAGCAGTGGCAGGGCGTGTGAGGGACCGTCGCTGTCTGTCTCCACGGTGACCAGCTGGTCCAGATCCACCTGATGCATTCCTCCTGTCGCCATGGCAGCAGGAGGCTGAGCGCTGCCGGGCACCGCGGTGACCGCTGCCACGGCCTCTGCTGCCCCCCCCTCCGCTGTCACATCTTCGAAAGGCTCGAAGATGAGAGGGAGAGCCTCTGAAGACATGGTGCCCTCAGTGGCCTCGTCCTCAGAGGGCGGGACCACAGTGTCCACTGTAAACACAAGAAAGACAGAATGAGGGTCAGGATATGTTCAGGTGCAAGGTGCATGACTGGATGTGTCAGAACTTTCTCCAATTAAACAAAGACAAAACTGAGGTAATGGTTTTTGGAGCCAAGGCAGAACGTATACAAGTTAGCGCTGAGCTTCAGTCTGCAATGTTCAAAACAACAGATAAAGCCAGAAATCTAGGTGTAGTCATGGACTCTGACCTGAGTTTCAACAGTCACATTAAAACAATTACTAAATCATTTTTGTTTAATTGGAGAAAGTTCTGACACATCCAGTCATTGATTTGTTCAATGCACTTACGCAGTGTTTTAACTGGAGAATAGTCTCCTGGTGAAATTGTTACGTATATTTGTGTTTCATCTGCATAGCTATGGTAACTTATTTTGTTGTTTTTCATTATCTGAGCCAGTGGTAGCATGTAGATGTTAAAGAGAAGAGGCCCCAAGATGGAGCCTTGAGGTACCCCACATGTCATAGTTGTCAACTCAGATGTGTATTTACCTATAGAAACAACGTTTTTTCTGTCCTTTAAGTAGGATTCAAACCAATTTAGAACTGTTTCCGAAAGTCCCACCCGGTTTTCTAGTCGTTCGAGTAATATGTTTGTCCACAGTGTCAAACGCAGCACGGAGATCTAATAATACTAACACTGAAGTTCTGCCACTGTCTGTGTTTAAGTGGATGTCATTGAAGACCTTTACAAGAGCAGTCTCAGTGCTGTGGTTTAGACGAAAGCCTGACTGGAACACATCAAAACAGTTATTTAAATGCAAGAAGTTACTCAACTGTTGAAAAACAACTTTTTCAATGATTTTACCTAGAAATGGCAGGTTTGATATGGGCCTGTAATTGTTCATTACTGAAGCATCTAAATTATTCTTTTTTAAGAGCGGTTTAATGACTGCAGTTTTCAGGGCCTGTGGGAAAATACCTGAGTGAAGAGATTTGTTTACTATATGAAGTAGATCTGAGGCCATGCAACGAAAAACATCTTTGAAAAATCCTGTTGGAATAATATCAAGGCAGCAGGAGGAGGATTTCAGAAGTTGAATAATGTCCTCTATGTTTTTATCATTAATCTGATGGAATTGTGTCACCTGAAGAACATTTCTAGGATTAAAAGACTAATGTCACAGCAGGATTTGGAAAAACTTGTCCATGCTTTTATCTTCAGTAGACTGGACTACTGTAATGGTGTCTTCACAGGTCTCACTAAAAAATCTATTAGAAAGCTGCAGCTAATTCAGAACGCTGCTGTTCGAGTCCTCACTAACACTAAGAAAGTGGATCACATCACTCCTGTTCTGAAGTTTTTACACTGGCTTCCTGTGTGTCAAAGAATAGATTTCAAAATACTGCTGCTGGTTTATAAAGCACTGAATGGTTTAGGCCCAAAATACATTTCTGACCTACTGCCAAATTATGAACCATCCAGATCTCTCAGGTCTTCAGGGACTGGTCAGCTTTCTGTCCCCAGAGTCAGAACTAAACATGGTAAAGCAGCGTTCAGTTATTATGCTCCAAATATCTGGAACAAACTCCCAGAAACCTGCAGGTCCGCTGCAGGTTTCCGCTGCAGGTTTCCAACTCTGATTACTTTTAAATCCAGGCTGAAGACTTTTCTTTTTGCCGCTGCTTTTAATTGAACTATTCACATCTTAAACTGCACTGTAACTTTTATTCATGTATTTTTTCTTTTAATGTTTATTTTATTATCTTTGCTTTTTAATGACTGTTTTTAAATGCCATTTTCTTATTGTCTTTCATTTCTGTAAAGCACTTTGAATTGCCTTGTGTTAAAAGGTGCTACATAAATAAACTTGACTTGCCTTGCAAAGATAGATAGAAATTGAGGTTTTCCTGAGGATCATGGTTTATTTATTATTTGTGATCTTGGTGTTGTTCGGAATAAACTCCATTGTGTGTTCCTTTGCCCCTCATACAGTCACTAGAGGTAACACGGTTCTCTTTAATGAGGAGATGTAATCCTTGTTAAGATCTATAAAAGCTATGGAAACTAAGGCAGTGAACACTGTATCATAAGATCCCCTTTTTCTTGGGGCAGTGCCTTTATTGTATTGAGTGATACCAATATCTACATCTAAATAGAAAGAGCATATTTGTTTGGACCTTCTGGCAAAAGTCAGTCAAACACAGTAGTCTGAAAGTCTATGTTTTTGTGATTATGCTCAATTCAGTGAGAAAAGTAGGCCACCTGAATGAGTTTCTTTACAAAGCTGACAGCTCAAATAAATACATATATTTTCTAAAGTGTATTCAGCACACATAACAGCACTGAAGTATTAATGACAGGATGAAGCTCCTGGTCATGTGGTTTTCTCATTAAAAAGCACTTGCATTTGAGTTAACAGTGCAGCTAAGACACAATGAAAGGAGAATATAACCGTTCTCTCTAGATAAGAGACGACCACAGAGAGGGAGCTGTCACAGGAGAAACTGCTACCGCATATCTCTCAGACATTTCCTTTAGTCTAAAGTGTTTCTAAAGTAGGCTGAAAAATGCTAATAAAGACCGCAATCCTTTTACATAACGCTGTTTTGGGAATTGAGTTTTTTTTGTGTCAGCTTCCTCTCTGTTGGGAGGAAGCTTCATCAAACAGCCGATCCCAGAATGGACGGAAGGAACACATATTGGCTCAGACAGACTCCTTTAATCCATTTCCCTATTCTCCCTCCATGAATAATAACCTGACTGTTTCTCTACAATAGCTTGGATGGGGGAGTGTGAAGGGGGGGGGGGGGAGAAAGAGCGGAGGTTTGAGGGGGTAAACAGATAGAGAGAGAGAGAGTGGTGAATCCTCCAAAGACTTGTATAACACACCCTGCCACCAGCCCTTTCATGGCAGTTGTGTGTGTGTTCTGTTTTTTGTTTCCAGGCTCGAGTCAGGAATAGAAAGTAATTAGTTTGCCACGGGTCCCAGCTGGGGTTCAAAGTGGAGCGTGGAAAAGCCGGGCGCCTTTCTTCGCCAATCGTCAAAGGCAATCTTTGCCACGAGACGTGTCGTTTTAATTTCCGCTTGAATGAATCCTCCTGAAACCTCGCAAACTGCAGCAAAGCCAGGAAATAAAACTCACTGTGGAAGAAAGTCAGACATTGACTGCAGAGCATTCCCTTAAACTTAGGAGTTTGTGTCCTTGTGCACCCAATTTGAATAATAGAACAGCAAGCTTTACCCTCCAAAAAAGTCAATTTCACATCAACATTAATGATGCTTTTCTAATATTTCACACTTACCATCCCCGGGCCTTGCCGCCTCAGTCCACAGGCTCTCAGGTCCATCCTCTCTGGGCATCAGGTTTGGTCCCAGTTCAGGTAACAAGGGGTCTGGAAGGGAGGACATTGTAGCTCCATTATGACCCCAAATTGACAAATGTGTGTAGGTTTGAGGGGAGGCAAAGACAGAGGGAGGGATGGGACTGCGGGAGGTCAGTTTCTGGATCCATAATCCAGAGTTTGGAGGTTCTGTAGAGGATGGCAAGCTTGTTTCCGAGTCCTCCAGAGAATCACCGGGTACTTTGGACCAGTCCTCCTCATTTTGGTCTCTGACCTGCCTGGATGTGATGCCCAGCTGTGATGACGTTGTGAAGGAGGATGAAAATCCATCTGGAGTCGACCTTGCTGACCTCACTGCTGAGTCCACCTGCTGCGTCCCACCTGTGGGATCGGACACAGGCACCTTCCCACCGTGTGGATCAGCAGACAGCCCTGAAGCCGACTGTCTGCTCCCGTCCCCCATCTCAGACGAGCTCCCGTCCTTCTTTACCCTGCTCCTTTGGCTCCGTGCCTCTCCTCCAGCCTCTCTCGGCCCAGATCTTCCATCGAGGCTGTCCCCGTTTTCAGTCTGCGTCACCGAAGCTCTCCGCTCAGGTCGTGCATGTGGGCCAGCGCCTCCTTCTATATTTAAAACCAGGCCAGTCACATGTTGTGTGGGCTCTTTATCTGTGGCGTGCGTTGATACAACGAATGTTGCCGAGCTGCTACACTTTCCGTCACAGTTGCTGGTGTAGCTCTGGAGGTGGACGGGGGTCCCGTAGACACAGAGACAGGTGCCCGCCAGGAGGAGGCGAGGGAGCGTCCCAGACATCAGCATCTCTGTCTCGTCTCAGTGCCTGCTGAGAGTGGACGCAAATGCTAGGTGTGAACAGCGTCTCTGACTGTCACTTCAACGCCTTGCCACCCAGCTGTAGACATGTGGACAGAAAGAGAAAGCAGAGGTGGCGTGAAGGAAGATAGGTGACAGGGTGCAGATTAAAGAACCAGCATACAAATGATATCACATTTTATTCAGAATTTCATAGCCTGTAGTTACCAAAGAGAACAGGATTAACTGTCAGCCTTTGCTTTGATGCTGCTGCCGTTTTGGAATCGTTTGGATGAAATTCCTTTTCATCTCAGACTCTTCTGCTCACTTTGTGTAAACAGAAGGAAATGCTACCCTCACAGGTGGAGGGTGACAAATAGAGAGAGTCTGACACAGCAATCCTTAGCACCCCCCTGCATTTCATCCATAAATAGCACCAGGTTTTCTAAGATCCTCTACAGAAGGATCCATTAAACAGATCTCTATGTTTGCAGGATATATGCACATTGGATTTTAAAACGGCTAACTGCTGGAGCATGTGTTGCTTCACATGACGAGGCAGCAATCATCACCCAATAATCAATCCCTGCCTGCTGTAGAGAAATACACGACACGTCTGGTGTTCACAGGGTGACACCCTTTCATGTTGCCGGAGAAACACAAACAATCATCCGAGCCCTGATGATGCACTGTCCAAAAATGCAACCCACTGTTCTGCATGCGCACCTCCCCTGTGATCAATACCGTTTAACAGCTCATGCAGTGCACATATAGCGAGAGTATAAACAGATTCACACTGCGCTGTTGAATCACCGGGGCTAACATGCATGCATTCCTTTAAATCGCGTCATTTTGAGGCAATGCGAGAGAATGCACAGTCGCGTGAGGCTAAACATAAATACCTTCCAGTTCATGTTCGCGGTGCCTGGAGGAGTTTCTCTTGCAGTTTGCAGGAAATAATGCAGTTCGCACGGACACAGATTCAGGATGGTGAGGGTGGATTGAGAGGCTTGTTGTTGAGCAGCTCGGCGTCACTGACGGAAAGTCTCAGTCTTCTCTTCGTTATGTCCTCCTGCTTCTGAAGTGCTGCCACCAAATGCTTCAGATCTGCAGGATTCACCCAAAGAGGCAGCTTTGGCGTCTGTTGTATGATAATCGAGCTAATTGCATTGAATGCATCTATTCCTCGATAATCAGAAGTTTATGTTTTCTTCCAAAAGAAGGTCATATGAAGAGCCTGATGGTGCTGAACAGACAGCTCCCTAACCTTAAATTAAAGTCAAAGGTCGTTGTAAACAGAGAGTAGTGGAGACCAGAGGAAGAGAACTGTCAGTTTCTTAGTCTGTGTATTTTAAACAATATACAACCAATATAATATTATATCTTGCTGAATATGAAGATGTTGAAAATGAACGTTATTTTTTAAATGATGACCGAGTATATTTAACGCATTTATTCGTGAGCACCATAGCCATAGCATTGGAAATATTGTGAACTAATAATTATGCAATAAACGCTATAACAAAAGTCTCCCCAAATAATTAACTTTTTTATGTGAATTTAAAGAATATATAAAGACTCTCAGATGTATACATGTTGTTAATTGTTATTATAATATATTTGCAATTTATGTAAAGCATTTAATGTTGTTGTTGTGTAATCATAATATCCTTTTTATTTCAATTAACTGATTGTTTGACATTTTTTAAATAATATGCATGCATACATTAGATTAATAACAGCTCTTATCTGACGATAAACAATAATCATGTTAAATAATCCACATTTACAGGATTGCTTCTGCATTAGGCCTACATACAAATATTACAATGTTGTAATCTAATATCAAATACACCCTGAACTTGTCTGAAGGGTACTTCTAACGTTTGTTCCCTTTTTTGTATATGTTGCTGTTTATGACGTACTCATTTGTCATGTAATAGTTGAATACAAAGTTTTCATCAACCTCACTTTGAGCACATTTTGATCTGGCAATCCAGGTGACGTCATCGCGTTTGTTAAGACCCAACCCAGCCCAACCGGAAGACAACAGATTTTTCATCCTTTTCATACGATGCTAATTTTCGACTGTAACATCTGAGCACTGACATTATTCATTAAATTAATAAAATGCCCTTATTTGATGGTTTGGGAAGCGGAGGAGAGAAGACTGCCATCGTCATTGATTTAGGAGCAGCATACACAAAGTGAGTATTAGCCGTTAGCACCCCTTGTTAACAGAGTCAATAGCATATTATGCTAGCGTATATATTTGTATTTCTTACCTTACTTTTTTAATTGTGTTTCGGCACTAATGGCCTATGCACCTCACACACAAACCAACCATGCTGTAGCGTTAGCTTGAAAGCTAATACTTACTAGACATGTCAGTGTTTAGCTAGCGTTAGCTAATGCCAAATTAAAGCTAAGATAACATCCAATAAGTAAACAAAGACAACTGTACTGAACGACAGTTGCATTATAGACAGCTCGGTGCAACATGAAAGGATTGTCACACCCCAACGTTCATTTTCGAATATTATTTAATTTAATTGTCGGACATTTAGACCAGAATTCAGACCAGACAAATGTCCTGTCATTTTTCCAATGTGAGGTGAAAACACGGCCCCTGGTTGACAGTTCTTTGAGTGACCTACATTACTTTTAAAGCACTTGGTAATCTGATAGCTGTCTGATGTTAAAAGTCACTTAGCCTATCATTATATTTTACACTAGCAGTGTATGGCTTTAATGCTAACATCTTGCTAGAATTTTAAAGCAAATGTGTCATAATGAAGAAAACCCAGCCTGAGGCAAGTCACATGAAGATCAAGAGGACCGTTTTCTACACTTTTCATAATCATGTCTTTGTACACAGTACATTTCTTTCCGTCATAATGTCACACAGAGCCTCACTTTAATTGTATTCAAAATTCAAAGGGTTTATTTGTATCTGCACATTAGCTACACTGTGGTTGTGGGCAATGGAACTCTTCAGTCTGAGCCTGGATAAGGATATGACTGATTGCATTAATCTTGCTAGTTATATTATATTAATTATATATTATTTTATATAAATTATAATATTCTCTGCACATCATTCAGAAGCCTGGCTGATAGTTTTGCTCTCCTTGCAGATGCGGCTTTGCAGGGGAAACGGGGCCCAGGTTCATAATTCCGAGCGAGATCCGGAAACCAGGACAGCAGCAGGTGAGACACCGCTGTGAAAATGAAACATTAGAAAGCATGTTTGAAAATTGCCAAACAGATGGTAATTTTTCTCTCAATTGCAGGCCATCAAAGTGGTTCAGTACAACATCAACACAGAGGAGCTTTATGTAATTCTCAAAGAGTTCATCCATTTACTGTACTTCAGGTGAGACTCTGCTGCATCGGTGATTCTTTTCAACACATCATTTTATACAGAACATATACCGCTTTTGGCTGAAAGAAATATTGGTCCAGTCTCACTAAATAAAAGTTTGTGTTTCTATTTGTCTCGTCAGGCACCTGCTAGTGAACCCTCGCGACAGAAGAGTGGTCATCATCGAGTCCATCCTCTGCCCGTCTCACTTCAGGGAGACGCTCACAAAAGTTTTCTTCAAACAGTTTGAGGTATGGAAATAAAGCTGATCAGTGTTTCATAGAAGCTTAAAAGAAAAGTCTATTTCGTTAGAGTTATTTAGAGTCCCAAAATCAAATGTCCACATCAATTTCAATGGTTTACTAATGGTGACATGTCCTGTAGGAACACACCTATTACAACAACTCTGATCACACATCAGATACATTGTGTATTGTCTGTGTGTTAAAGGTGATATTTCATTTTCAGGTCCATACTTCATTTTGTGTTCATACTTGAACAAGTCTTTTTATTTCATTATAGTCTACAGTAATCAATGCCATTTCATTGATATTGTAATATCACAGTACACTCACTACACTCCCCCCTCCCTCCCTCCACCCGCACATGCCCACACGGGCGAAACCAAAACAAAAAATGCTTAATATAACTTAAAGGTCACATGTCATGCTTTTCCGGTTAGTACCCGTCCCCTTGTGTGTTTATGAAGGTTTTTATGCATGTAAACGGTGTGCAGAGTCAAAACCCTCAAAGTACACCATGTAGCGAGTAAAACTCTAACACAGAAAATACCTCCCCAAAACGCCTCGTTGGAGAAACGTCATCATCCATTTGATTCTTCCGGGGACATCATGATGTCATGTCGTACCCGGAACGAAATGGACCAATCCGCGGAGCCGTTACGTTACGTCCGCGGAGCCGTTACGTTAAGCCCTCGCTGATTGGTCCAAATTGACCAATCCACGGACTTCCTCACACACTCAGTGCATGCAGCTCTGCTGATCTCTCCTCCCTGGCTGCAGGCTGATAACAGACAGTTGGGATCGCGGCAAAATTCTCTCTGCAGACCCATTCTCACAGCGTTTATCAACCCTTTTCTTACTCAATATCAAGCCACACTTATTGTTTTTACTTCGGCTGTGACTTTGTGTGTGCTCAGGGTGAGTTTGGCTGTGTTTCGCTGTGTATCGCTAAACAAGGAAATCACACCTCCACGGAGCTTAGCGCGATTCACAACGTCCCGACTGGTCCCGACCAATCGGAGCACACTGGGCTCACAGGGAGGGGGGGGGCAAGAGCTGCAACGAGCTGCAACGAGCCGTTTAGTGGAGAGAGTGAATACACGTAGTTTACAGAGATGCCGTATGCGAAACAATGTGAGTTTGGAAAATTGCACAGTATAAATCTAATCTAGTAGACCTCAACAATGGAATTATGATCAGTGGAAATGGCCATGACATGGGACCTTTAAACAACAGAGCCATGAAAATAAACAGAAAACAGAAAAGGAAAAAATAGAGAAAAAAAAAAAAACTTGAACAAGTTGAAATGCTTTGAGTTTTTTCTCGTTCTGTCTGAATGTACTGTACTCACCTCCCTCCGTCTGAAATGTTCTTATTTAGAACTCTTTAAGGGATCCCTCTCTAAAGTCTACTCTGAATAGCTAGTAAATACAATATGACACAGCTTTGCAAAGGTTCTAAAGCCATTGGTGGAGATAATGGAATGGCGGCGGTTTTCTAATGAGACTGTATGTGACAAAGGGAAAGGAGGACACATTTGAATGGCTTGCTAAATCCAATGTTTTCTGACCTAAAAAAAAGAGTTGTCCTCTTTAAACCGTTTTTAGCCTCTTCAGATTCCCAGCCGTATGATCACAAGGAATGAAAGAGTAAGCGTTTGATGACATGTCCCCTTTAACTGTTATTCTTGGCTGGTGTTCTCCAGGTGCCCTCTGTGGTGTTTGCTCCAAGTCACCTCATGGCCGTCATGACTCTGGGCATCAACTCTGCTCTGGTGATGGACTGTGGCCACACGGAGACGCTGGTGCTACCTGTATCCTTTCCCTGTCATTTTGGAGTCTTTCAAATGAATACTGCAACTGTTTAGGAATTGCATTTATTTATTTATTTGAATAGGAATTAGGATCTCTGTTCGCTCCTTGGTGAGGGATATCCAGGACATGTTTAGCCTCCTAGGATGGATGGAAAGGAAGCCATTAGCCACCTACTAGCCTTATATGTTTCCACCTTAACTGTAAACTCAGATTTACGAATGCACTCCTATTCTGCCAGCCTGGGAGGCTTTGCCTTTGGGAGGGAAAGCCATTCATAAGTAAGTAGCTCCAACAGATTTCAGAATCAGAGTGTGAGACTCTATTTTATGATTAAAAATCCATTGGCTGTGAAATGTAACCTTTTCTTTTAGATGTGTTTCCCATAACTGCATGTGTCTGTTTCTATTTCAGAGAATTAGAGGGTCTTCTTGTGGAGCAGTGCACTGTGGACTCAGACACCACCACTGGGCAGAGTGTTCCAGTTGCTATTGGTAATCACAGAGAAATGCCATCCACTGTATGCCTTTTTTAAATGAATAAACATGGTACTCTGATACAGACTGCTAATGTGTTAAACTGCAGACAAATACAATGGCTTTCTCCCATTATGCATCATTTACTATAAATAAGTAGAACATGTTTCTATGTGACATTTTAGTGATTTATCTTGCTCAATTGGTGAATTATACATATGCATATAGTCTATTTTAGAGTTGTCTGGTAAAACTGAATTGTCATGTTAAGCTGTGAGATCTGCAGCAGA